TTGCATTAATATAGTCATATATTTGGGGACGTATAATGCATGTGGAGTCATCAAACAAATTATCACATAAGAAATATATATTGTTTTTGCTAATATAAGAAAACACACTGATAAATAGAAATAAAGAGCATATGATAAAAAATAGTAGGTTTTTAATCAAAAAAATAAAAAAAATAAAAATAGTAGGTAATGTAGGCGCCTAAAGGGTGTTGTCTACCGTACCCTACGAAATATATTTTTTTGTTTCTGGGGATGCCTTCTCTTTTGGTTTACGCTATTTCCAATTTTGATAATGCCTTCACACGAAGACCCTTCGTTGTTGTGATGTTGGTTGGATCTAAATAGCCCTACACTTGTTTTATGAAGTACCAATATGTTACATTGAGAAGTCTTTTATTATGTTTAACGAGACAGATCAAAATATTAAATAACTAGTTTCATACTCTCTCTGTTCCTAGAAGATTGATTTTTTAGAGATTTCACATATTTTAAGAAACAATCATTGTTTAATTATAGATTTTTATTAAACATTTTTTAATAAACTATGAACCAATAGTAATCTGAAATAGTTAATCATTACGTCTTGAAATCTATGATTTATTAATATCAATTAACTAAAAATAAAAAAAATCTAGAAAATCAATATTTGTGGAACAAACCCAAAACACTAGAACATCAAACTTCTAGGAAGAGAGAGAGTAACATTCAACCAAGAAAGTGTTAAAAACTGTAGTCTCAAAGACATAACAGAGTCTAACAGATAGAGAAACAGACTTCGTATCACAATCTATTTGATTGTAAACAAAACAATGAAGAATAGAACTTCTCTCTTTATTAGATAAAAGTGAAAAGCAACGACTATAGTTCAAGGTTTACCACAAAGGACTTAAATAGAATCCAACAGACATGAAAGTAAAGAGTTGTAACTCTTCTTTCTTGTGACACAACAACCGTTAAGACATAACTACTTAACTTAACAGACACGAAACTTAATTTAATAACTAGCTTAATACCTTACAAACTCAATTACGACCAACAGAAGGGGCTAATTTCACCTTCTTACGATCTTGATTTTTTGTTTTAATTAGAAACACCCTCTCTCTCTCTTTTTCTTAGTCAACAACATAACTCTCATTTAGACCTATTAATCAATTACTGATTTCTTCAATAATGACAACTAGATATTCTTTGAACTATAGCAACTTTTATTTAGTATGATAGATGAGTTATATAAGATAATAAACCACTTGTCGTATCAATCTTTTTAAGTCTGAAACTTTAGGTCAAATCCATTTTTGGATCACTTTTTTCGGGGTTAATTTGACTCATTTTAAATATGTTTTTAATACTGTTCATTAAATTGCAGTTAGCTGAACATATCAGAGTGCATTGAGTTTGCGAAACTTCATAGCTAGGAAAATGTGTTGATGCTAGAGGTACGTAAGTTTGTATATCTGAAGATAGTATAAAAACTCTCATTTGGTCCAAGTAATGGGCCGAAATTGTTAGGCCCAATAGCTCTCAGTACTGGGTAATTCATTTGGGTCAAAACGTCGTTATATGATGACTTTAGCTTGAAAGTTAATAGATAAATATCCGAATTTCGGGGTGGTCTCGATATTTAGTTAGACTTGGTCATGAAAATATTTAACGAGGTGTAGTTTTCTGAACTACTGATTTATCTAGGCCGAGTTCATCAATTATCAAAGAGTTTTGGATAAATGAGGAATATCGGAAAACAAGGAAGGAACCATCTCTGTCTAATAAAGTTCGTACGAAGAACAAAAATATGAGACTGTAATTAAAATAAATGTGAAAACATTTACACGAGAGCTCTCTAATTTTATTGACATTGACAAGAAAAAAACGATGGAGACGCGTGAAGTGACGGAAACCACATACGCACCGAGACGTAAATGATAGGCCCAAATTTGGTGTTTTAATTCCATTATTTATTTCAATTATTTACTCTTTTCCGTCTATTTTAATTAATTAGATTATAATCGTTATTTATTTAATGGTAATTATGTAAAGACGACGGTATGACGACGTAAAGAACGAACTAAAGATTATGTACAAGCCAATAAATTAGTTTTATATGGACAAAACAATTAAAATGGGTCTGATCAGTATTATCTGACATAGCATCTCCTGATTGGTCGTGTTTACCAAAAGCAGGAAAAAAAAATTAAACAATCATTATAAATAATACTAAAAAATTATTAATGATATTTTATGAGTATCACCTATGACCATGCTCTAAGGTGTAGTTCGATCATTGTGTTATTATTTTGAATGGTTAACTACTTTACTACAGAAATAGAAGTATATTTAATATTTCTTTTGGTTAAAAAGTATGATAAATATTTTTTGGTGTAATTAAATCGTTACTAAATCTCTTTTCTGCAAATATTTTTTTGAACAATGAAATACAAATACATGAAAAAAACATTTTTAGTCAAATAAAGTTCCCAAATTTTGGAATAAATCCTACTTAAGTAAACATGCTAGTGACTTCAAAAAAACTTTTAAATAATAAGATTTAAAAGTTTAAGAAAGATAAAGAACGTTTAAAAAAAATTGATCGCTTTGGCAAAAAAAACAGAAAAAATTATCGAGGTGGTGAAACTCTTATGTCGACTGTCGTAGTAGATATGTAGGCCTGTATGCAGTAAACTAGGCATCAAGGACTAAGACCATCCTTATTGGTAGTCCTCTCTTAGGGGATTTTGTATATGAATGTCCTCCTTCTCTGTTTTATTAATTTAGCTTACTGTTTCGTTGTAGATTGGATTTTAGGTTTTTTCGATTGTTTAGATGTTAACTAGTATTGATTTGCTGAAGTTTGGCTAATAATCTGAATTTTAGAGTTTCTGGATTTGGTTAAGCTCGTATTTCTTTATATTTGGGATCTTATTATGACGTATTGATTTCAGTTTGTTATCCAGTGGACTACCTTGGGAGCTGTAGATGTTAACTAGTGATGTTATTATGTTATTATTACGTGGAGCTTGTTGAGTTTGAGTCGGCTGAATTTGTGTTTCACTTTGCTCCGGTGCTTGCACTTCTGCATCTTCCTCATTCATGTCTATTAAGTCATTTTGTGCATTGAGAAATGCAATTGTTTGTAAAGACTCTAAATCCATTCTGAAAAAAAAGAGAAACAAAAGCACTAACGTTAATTTACAAAACTAAGACTCAAGAGCCTTGAAAACTAAAACTAAGTATATATGCTTCCACCTAGGCCTGAGCATATGGGTAACCCGTTCGGGTTCGGGTAAAACCCGTTCGGGTTCGAGTTGAATGGGTAATGAATTTATGGTCCATTCGGGTATTCCTATGGTTTCGGTTCCGGTCCGGTTCGGGTATTGTCGGGTTCGGGTCGGTTTGGGTAATACCCGAAGTTTAAAATCACTTTACATACTCAAATAAAGAGAATAGAACATCAAACATGACATTTAAATACTAAATCCAATCCAAAATAACAAAGATGACTATTTTACTCTTAAGTGTTAAGAGTAGATTCTAATCTATATATAACAATATTTGAGAAGTGTTTTTGCTGACGTGTCGGACTCTCGGCTCTTATTGAGTCCTTGATTTTACGTAATTACTTAATTATCCTTAATGAAATCTAATTAATTTTGGAAAAATTAAATTGAATTTCGGAATTAACCAGGAAAAAATAATTTTGGAAACAATAAACATGATAATTAACCAAAAAAAAAAAAAAGGAACAACGAAGTACCAGTTAGAAAGCTTTAATTGAATTCATCGTGTTCTTCGTCGTGTGAATATAATTCTTCTAAACGAAGGCAAAACGTGAAATCCTAACATAAAGCATATATTCATAGCAATAACAGAGATTTAATAATTTAGTGATAGAATTTCACCTGTTGATCTGTCGAAGCAGAATAGTCAAGCTTCTCATAGTATCTTGCCCATGTTATGTCTTTAAGATGTCAATACTATCCTGCACCCTATAATTCTAACCAATGAAAAGAACAAATATTTATTACCTTGGATACAGAGTTGACGAATAAACCTTGGATAAAAACTCGACGAAGAAACTTGTAAGTGTTAATGTATGATGAAGCTTCCATGAACGTGAATTCGTGATCATAATGAAGAAACGTGTGAATGGAGACGGTTGATGGCTTTTTTTTTTTTTTTTTTTTTTTTTTTTTTTTTTTTTTTTACCTTTTGTGTAAACAGATCTGTTTTATAATTTATCGGAAAAGGAATTATACCAAAAAAAAAATCGGAAAAGGAAAATATTTATTATAATATTGATATATTTAAGATGATAATGTCAAATATCCGAAAATTATTAATCGGAGCATTAATATAAACATAAAAGAATAATATTCTAACCTTACTCAAATTAATAAGATTTAGATATCCGAAATTAATCGTAAACGGCTATTAATTGTTAAACTAATTAAAATAAAGATCGAACGTACCGGAATAGATGAAATTTTTGGTATGATCGTCGTGTTCGTCGTCGTTTCAATCTAAATATTTGGAAAAAAAAAACGAACAAAAAAAATAATATGTAGATCAATGAAAGAGAACCCACCAATTTAGAAACGGTTATCACGCCATCGTATTGTTCGTCGGATGATTATAAGTCTCTAATCCGGAGATTGACTTGAACCCTGACAAAAACATATATTCATAGCATAAAATCGTAAATAGAAGGTAAAAGACCACCTATTAATCGGTTGTAACCTTGTGCAAACTCGATTTAATTTTGACGAATGAAATGTTGGTGTGGTGTCAAAACTTTCTTGGGGAGACTCGAAGATGAGAGAGCTGAAGTCAGAGATAGGCAGAGAGGTTTACATGTGAATTAAGGTATGGAGTGCTAACGTGAACATGAACGTGAACGGCGGTGATTTTTGCACATAATAGCAATTAGATCGAGTTTTGGAAAAAAATATGGATCAGCGTGACATGACGCATATGGATACCATGCATGTCTATCTATTGTAAATCAAAAATTATATTATTGTTCCGCCTTATTTTTGAAACAGAAAGGATTTTTCCCTTAAATTTTAATATATTTTATAAGATATAGTAGTAAATCTAAAATAGTTGTTATTATTCCATATTTTTACGGAAAAAAGTAAATATTATTTTAAATAAACATGGATAACAATGAATAAATGGCAGTTTTACAAATATTTATTATTATGATAGTGATTTGCTTATTAAAATATGTAAATTTTCTTTTCTTTTTTTGTATTTATCGTCGAAAAATTTAGAAACCCTAAATCATGCACCGTCTCCTATTCAATATAAATACCTTGCTCATGGTATTCAATTTCAGATCATAACTAACCCTTGTTTTTTTTGTTCTTTTTTTTCAAACTTTTTTTTGCTTCTACCTAATTTTAATTTTTCTTTTTATTGTAGGGTGGATGTATGGAGGGGACGATGTGAACTGGTGTATGGAAAATTTGGACCTAATTCAATGAATAAACAGGTGATCTTATAGTTTATATGTACAAATTTGATTTTTTTCTTTTGTATTTATGGTTTCACTATTTTCACCACTAATCAATTTTGATAATCAAAAAGTTTGGTTTCAACTTTTGAGAAGGTAATCATCGATGGTTTGGTATGTTTCTTTTTGTTGTAAAAAGATGAGGTACCTCCCGATTTTGTTGAGGTACATGTTCTTATTATTTTCAAATATGTCTTTTTCAGAAGAAACACTCAACTTTTGATAACACAGTTGCCACAAAGTCAGAAAGATGACTTATTTCAGGGATGAATCTTCAGAGGAGGCTAATTTTTGTCGTTAATACAATTTAAGTATTCCTCTCTTTAGATTAGGGATAACAAAGTTGGCTGTTAAATTCAGGAATTACTCTTTGTTGCCAATCTCTCTTCCCAAACTAAAATATTACATATATGGAAGTAGTAACTTAAAGTTTTTGGTATCGAGGTCATTCTAAGGCACTGAGATTCGGACTTTGGTATGTATAGGATTCGTTTTCCATGCACTAAGATTTAATTATTGTTTAATTTATTGGTTTTTAGGTTTCTTTCCATGCTCTGATGTGTTTTCGGGTGTGCCAATGGAAGCTTGCATCACTCTTTACTCCAAGCGTAAGTATGCTCTGCATTAGCTTCTTCTGTTCCATTGGTTATTATGGGTTTTGACTTTTGAGAAATATACAACAATTTAAAACCATGTTTTGTTGTTGATTGGTTCGGTTTGTATACCATATTTTGCTAAATACATATGACCATAAATAAGACCAAAGGAGCTGGGTTAGCTCCTTTGCCAGCTAGGTTGACTTCGTCTCCTCTCCGTCTTGCGGATTTCCGTTATATAATGGGTATATTTGAGAAGTATACGGTACTAAAACCACAACCATTGATCTTAGCTTGATCGGTTCTTCCCTAAGATTTATACATAAAAGTAAATTGTTTTGTTTAATAATTTTCCATTGCATGAACTTTCGAGACAACAAGTGGACAGGAGTGTAATGTCATCAAAAGTCAAATCAAACACTGTGAGGAACATAATAGACAACGTTGGCTTCTTTCGCAGCTGCTCAACGTTGTCTCTCCCGATGGTCCCAACACTCTCTTCTTCTTTTTTTGTCAACATTCAAACGTTGTTTAAAATAAATAAAAATGTTTAACCTTAATCATCTTTCTAGATCTTTAAATGCCTAAAACTTCAACTTAATCAGTCAGCAATCCGTCACGTTAATGATTTTGAAAGGAAGACTTTTGTTTTGTTTCGGTTAGTTTTGTTTGTTTAGTATTTTAATCACAAGATAACTCTAATTTCCCATTAGAGTTGTGTTAATTGTGTTGATTATGATTTGGCGTTCCAATTCTGATATTATTTTTATGTTGTAAATCTTAAACTGTTACGTTATTGTTCTATCTTCCTATGTGAGAAAAAAAGTAAAATGTTTTAAAATTTTGACATGGATAATAATATAATTGTAAATCTATAATAATTATATTATCATTTTATTTATATTTTTCAAAAAGAAATATATTTATCTTAATAGATTTAATATGATAATGTCAAATATAGTTATAAATCTAAAAGAGTTATGTTATTATTCCATCATTTTATGAGAAAAAAGCAAATATTCTCTTAAACTTTTAAATTAACGTGGATAATAATAAATAAATGATAATTTTACTAATATGATAATGATTCGGTTTTAATCTTACCAAAAAACAAATAATGATTCTGTTTTAAAAATATATAAATTTTCTTTGTTTAGTTGTAGATATTATCATATAAAAAATTCTTAGATCCTCCACTGCCTTAATTTTATGTAAATACCTTGCTTGATATTTAATTTTGATTTGATATCATAACTAATCCTTGCTTTTTTTTCGGTACTAACCATTGAATTTTTTATACTGCCATTTAATTCTTGCATAAAAAATAATAATTAATAGTAGTGTTTATTATGAATGCAGGTTTGTTTTCCATAAAAACTAGATTGGATTTATGGAAGCACGTCATTGTTTCCAGTGCGAGGAAACAAATGTCGTATCACTGCTGTTGTGGCTCTTTAGTACTTTCGTTTCTGTTTATGGCTTTGCTTCGGTTGTATGGTTAGTCATCAATCATTGATCTTCTCATTGTTTGAATATTGTTGCATAGGAAAAATCTTCCTTTTTATGAATCTTTCAAAAGTTGGGTCCATGCTATTCTCAGTGATTGATTACGTTTATTGAATATTTGTGTGCTTCCTCTGCTGATATTCTAATTCATGCTTTATTCGTCGTCTTTGATACACTCTGATTAACCATTGTGGACCTCTAGAGTCTAATTTGCAATATTAATGCAAGTCTCTTTAACTTACGGATTATGAAGAGCATCCTAAGATCGTTTAATTTGATTCAGGATTTATGTGGCTAATGTTTGGTCTTGGATGTGAATTAGTCTATCATGTTTCTTGGAAGGTAGGAAGCAATCTTGATGTTTACCAAAATCCAATGTGCTCTTTTGTAGCTCAGTTTTGAAATATGTACTAATTATTGTAGAGGGAACCCGAAACAAAGAGACCATATGTATGATTTTATATGCGAAGAGAAGCTCCGAATTTGAAATCGTCTCCACTCCGGTGATATGTGGCCATGGTGTGAAGGAGTCTGGAGCCATGGTTATTTCAGATTCGGACATAACCGTAATTGTTAAACTAATAAAAATAAGATCAAACGTACCGGATTGATGAGAATTTTTGGTGTTCTTCGTCATGTTCTTCGTCGTATGGATCTAACAAAACAAAAAAAATATATATACCCCAGAATTTTTTTTTGTTTGTTAATAGAGAGAACCCACCAATTTTGTAGCGTTGATTGTGACATCGAATTGTTTGTCGGATGAATATAAGTCTCTAATCCGGAGACTGAAGTTGAACCCTAACAAAAACATATATTCATAGCATAAAATTCATAAATAAAAGGTAGAGCATCACATAGCTTTTTCTTCAAAGCCAACACATCTCTCTTTGTAGCCGAATTACTCTCCAGTTTGGTATATACTCAAATTTTCCAATGACTTCCTTCTCGAACCTGGAGCGTTTTTGCTTTGCCGGATATTTTTAGGATATGGCTCTTATGTATCTCTTGTGAGTCACTTGATATGTTGTTTAGGTAAAACTTTTGGTTTGAAAGAGAATGATCTACGACAAGCATAATCGGTTATTTGTTATATATGTGGCCATGTTCATATTGCTTTCTCCACAAGCAATTTTCCAGTTTTGTAGCATTCGATATTTAAATTTAAAAGCTTCAATACGTTGTATACATGTGTATGTATGTACATATATGAATTATTCTCAGTTGCACATAGTGGTTTCTAAGGGATAGATACTTGCTCTCTGTAACCCTCTCATTTTTAGTACCTATCTTCAGTGTTTACTTTGCTAAGAGCTTCTTGATAGGCATAGATCTTTGCAATCTCAGATCAATATACTACAAATACATATACGATACAGTTAAGAAAATGATATTTCTCTTACAACTTTTTATATGGGTTTTATAAACAAGAGATCAACTGAAGGGTTACGCAGCGACCAATGGCGAAGGTAGAGACAAAGATACTACAATAGGGACGATAAATATGACACGATATATACAAAGGAGATGCCTGTTTCTATACCATTGAAATTTTACGTACATAACTACTTCAAAGAGCAAGATGACTTACTTGATAGGTAAGAGATATGGTAAGAGATTATATTTTTCAATTATTTGTTTCCTACTACGAAAAACTCCAGTGACATACAATCTAAAAGCATGAATATGTCATAAAATCAAGAATACAACAAAAACCAGGAAGATGGGCCCAAATTAAAGTCTGAAACTGGACGTGGGGAACCCACGGACAGTGGCGGTCGAAGCGTTACAAATATGAAAAAAACGAGGAAGCGTGAATATGTCATAAAACCAAGAGTACTACAAAACCAAGAAGATGTGCTCAAAGAACGAAACTGGACGTGGGAACCCACAGACAGTGGCGGTCGTGGCATTACAAATATGAAAGAAACGAGTAAGCATGAATATGTCATAAAATCAAGAGTACGACAAAACAAAGAAGATGGACCTAAAGACCGAAACTGGACGTGGGGAGCCCACGGACAGTGGCGGTCGGGGCGTTGCTAATATGAAAGAAACGAGTAAGCATGAATATGTCATAAAATCAAGAGTACGACAAAACAAAGAAGATGGGCCTAAAGACCGAGACTGGACGTGGGAACCCATGGACAGTGGCGGTCGGGGCGTTGCTAATATATTGTTGGTTTAAATATATAGATTTTTTATATTTAATTCTATTATATATATCAAGATATAAACACTAATAATTGTTTGTGATTCAAAAACACTATTAATTGTTGATTACTAATAATATATATCAAAAGTTATAGCGTTTTACCATAATTCTATATTAATGTCGTTATAAAAATTAGACTCTTGACAAAATTAATTCAATAAATATCCCTAACTTGATAACCCTAAATATTAATTATTAATTCTGATCTTAATCAACATATAACCCCGCGCTGGGCGCGGAGACCTCCCCTAGTTATCTATATACATATATAAACATATGTGTATTACATATATATAAGTATATAACTATATAAGACTATATATCTAATTATCTATATACATATATAAACTCAAATGTCAAAAGTCACAAAACCTAAAACCTAGGACATACATATAAGTATATAACTATATAAGACTATATATCTAATTATCTATATACATATATAAACATGTGTATTTTTTCGGGTTTGTGGGTACCCTAAATGGGTAACGGGTAATCCCCGACCCGACCCGATACCCACGGGTAATCCAATACTCTACCCAATGAGGTAATTTTCTAATACCCTAACCCGCCCCAACCCGATTTTTTCGGTCCGGGTATCGGTTTGGGTATCGGGTCCGGGTTTTTTGCCCAGGCCTACTTCCACCACACAAGTAAGAATATCAAACTTCAGTTGCCAAACCACCCACGTAAATACTCACACACACAACTCAAATGAGACCACACATTAAGCTAAATCCTATCTGATTTTATGAAAGCTCAAGGAAAATGTGTTCATGAAACAACAAATGAAGTATGTAGACATTAGCAATGGTACTCTAAATCATCTTAATTCTTAACCATTCTTGACACTGTGTAAGGAGCCAAGGACAATCATAACCATTCTCGACACTGTGCAAGGAGAATCAGAACATTTAGAACGGGAATGAGATTACCCATCACGAAAGGATCAAGCTTTACTTGTAAAACTCAAAGTATAACACAATTCAAAAGCAACTACACATAATTGTTCCTTTACCTGAGTGAATTAGAGAGAGAGAGCCGACCAGTTTCTCTGCAAGATCTCTAAGCAAAGCTTCAATCCCACGAACAATAAAGAAACCCTTTCCGATTGATTCTAAAGATACCCTTTTCGATCGAAACCCTTTTTCACCAAGAACAACTGAGAGACAAAGCAATGAACATCGCAGCAAATTGATTCACCGACATTGTTCTTTAGGTTAGAAATAGATGGGCTGCCCATTTATTTCAGAGAAAACCCATTTAATAAATGGACTTAATTGGGTTAACCCATTTAACCAATTAAAACAATTTTCTATAAATGGGTCTAAATGGGCTATTTATTTAACCACATACCCATTTAACTAAATGGGCAGTGAAACCCATTTTAACATCACTAATGTTAACATTGGTGCCAGTCCATCTGCTGAAGAAGGTGGTGAGTGTCAGGTTGGTTTTGTCCGCTTTTGTAAATTATTACGTGGTGTCTGACATTGTTGTTTCGCTTTTAGATACAGAACCTGTTTACCTAATCTTTTATCTCTCCTATCTTTGATCTTATTGGTAGTATTGCTATTATTGATCCGAGTCCTCTCTTTTTGTTTCATATAGGAGAGCAACCACCTTATGACAAGAAAGGGTTCATCGCTTATATTAATTAATAAATACATCAAGCTTTTGACACCCAATCTCAGTGAAGAAGATCAAGCAGCCTTCAAGAAGAGTATTGGTCTATTTCCTTTGGTGTTGTGTGTTTTAACGCTTGCATTTGTTCATTTTTTAATGTAGTCTTAATTCCGATGGTATTGTCTTGAGTCTTTCTGTTGTATGAGCTTTCAGTTTATCAATCATTCTTTGTTTAGTTTCTCTGTAATTTCACTGTCATAAGCTAATGCTTTCTTTTGTTTTTCAGGTTTTGTTTGGACTGTCAAACCTAGCTTCTTCTCTTAATTGTTTTGGTATGCTTGTACAACTTCTTCTTGTTTCTATGAATGCTTGTATCATCTTTTTGTATGAATTGTTTTGGTTCCAAACATAGTAATCTTGTTTCTATGATTGCTTGTACATAAAGACATTATTTAGCATACATTTGAATTTATTTTTTTAAGAACCAATGGTTATGAAGACTAATTAGTTAAGAGCTTGTACATCAAGTTCTTAACTTTGAAAAAAACAAAATTTTAATTTTAAAAAAGACTAAGAGCTAAAAATAAGAGACTACCTATAATGTTGTTCTAAACACATAATGACAGACACGATAACCTAAGGTTGAACCGATCATACAATAATAATAATTTCTTGTTTTCCAAAAGCATGTCGACCTGTGAAATATCATAAATCATATCTTTAATTATGTTATCATAAGTGAACCAATTACAATGGTTTGGATATAGTCTAATATTTTTCTTTGTCAACGATATAGTTTAATTTTTAAGCTGCATATAGCTATCTAAGATATTTTAAAACTCCGACATAACATAATTGTCGGGTATATCTGAGGATTGTAGTGGAAGAGGAATATATATGAAAATGTGAGGAATAATGTGGATTAAAATATGAATTTTCAGAAGAGTATTTCAAATGAAAATGGTGGAAAATAAACCATATATACTTTCTAATCGGAGAGGAAAATTTTTCCTTCTTTGTTTTATTTTATTTTATAAGCCTAGCCTATTTTCATTTTGGAAATAAATTCCATGTAAATTTCGCAATTAAATAGTACTCTGTCTACCATGGTGAAATTAATCATTAGTGTTGGAATTGATCTTCATTCATGAGACAGCATGAAAATGAGACTCGAGAAGAAAATAAATTAAGACAAGAAGATTTAAGAAAGATATTTTTTTTGTCTAAAACATTGAACCAAAATGATAATTAAAATCAACATTTGATTATTTCTGACAAACAATAATTTTTTTATTACTGAATACCTATTTTGACATTATTTAAAAAAATTTACTATATAAAAGTTGTAGTGCAGTATTTTCAGGTTTCTCGGGTTGTCCTCGAATTTCTTAACTATAGAAAGTGGGAAAAATGGGGTGAACAACTACTTACGAAGTGCATATCATGGAGAGAAACCTTAAATGCATGTTAAAACTACAGACTTACCAACAATTAAGCGATTCACATTGTTGTGTGATCAATACCATTTAATTGCCATATTTAAATTTGTAGTCAACTATACGATACTTTCTTGTTTTTTAGCATGTGTTAGGTTGTATTTTTCTATTTTATCAACCATTTTACAAATCTTTGTAGGGTTTACCTAAAAATCTTACATCATCCCAATTGAAAGTTTCACAAATGTTTTTTTTTTGGAGGTTTTTTGTTTTCAGCAAAATGTAGTTTACATGCATAAAGTATTATTTAAAACTGGAAGAGTATCATTTAGTTATATAAGATATAATACACTTGACTATATATCATCTTATATACACACATATAGGTATGTGTATAAATTATTTTATACTTCTTCTGTATCATTTTAATTGATATTTGAGGTTTTACACACAAATTAACAAAACACATAACTTTCATTTAATTTATCTCTTTTACATAAAAAAATATTAAATAAAATGAATTTAACAAATTAGAAAACATGTCGTAAAATATGAAAGTTGAAAACATCACTTGACATGAAACAAAAAAAAAATCTCTTAAACATTATTTAAAGTGATACAGATAAAGTATTTAGACATCCTAACTTAAATTTGATGGAGGCAGATATACAATATACTTGAAGCGATTTCAACTGCTGCAATAAAATATGCAGTAGGCTCCTAAGTATTTGGATCTAAATAAAGATTTTGGTGTCTCCAACTATTTTTAATGGATAGCCAATCAAAAAAACTTAATATTTGAAAGAGACAGTTAAAAATCCTGTTAATAATAAAAATAATCGTATAAACCATCCAAAACTATAAGACGGTTGTGCTAGCCACCTATAATTTCAAGTGGTTGAGCTTTGGTTTTCTTACTGTTTTGTTTTATGATTTATTTTAAATGTGTTCTTAAATTATTTTACAAAATATCTCAAGAATAATCAATCTCTATAATATAAATTGCTACTTTAAGAATAAAAAGGACTTTTTCTGAAAATAAAAATTGAGCAAATATCAGCTAAACATATATTTGTATATTAAATAAAAACCAATACTCTCGTTGGTTTCGGAAAAAAATATCCAAATATATTTATTTCACAATCCAGTATTCCAGTTGTTAAAATTAGTCTTAAAAAAATTCAAACCATTTTTAAATTTTTAATAATACCCTATTTCATGAAAGTGATAAAAGTATTTAAATGCAATATAATGTACAAAACTTAATCATCAATCATATCCGAATAAAGAAATTTAGTTAGCTCTAATGTTTTTCCAACAAAAAAAATAGAATGTCCATGATACTGAAAGTGTTGATCATATTGAATAATAAAAAAAAGGGTGTAAATAAAAAAAAGAGGCAGTTGGCTTAATAATACAATAAAGGAACATGTATATCGCAGTGTGTGTTTAAAGACTTTTGATAGTTTGATTTTTCCTTTATTATAATAATGAAGGTGAAAAGGAAATTTGTGTCTTTTTGCAGAGTGGCGGTTGGCTTCAACAATTCATAGCGGAGTAACTCTATACGCGAAGAACTTGTCTCAGACTGATGGTTTTGATCAGAACGATAGTTTTGATGATAACTAAAACTAAAATAATATATGTATTTTCTTATAAAAACAAGTTTAATGAACTAACAGAAGTACTTTTTCAAAATGAATGTTACATTTTAATTTTTTAAAAACTTGATTTACATTATGCACATAGTCTTCTTCTGCGATTATGAACGGGAACCAAATAAAATTTTAGGTTGAGATATATTTTAGTCACTAAATAGTTTTAAAAGACATGAAGTTGGTAAGAACAGTCATAAATAGTTTAAAAAGAAATGATGTTGGTAAGCACATGACTATTACAACATAAAAATATATTATTCGATTTAATTAGGAATATAGCTATAAAAAGACGCCACTAATGCGTATGTTAATCTGATCTGACTAATTAGAAACGACAATATCTATATCATTGTCATGAGCTTATAAATGGTCCCACGACCCCTCCCCCATTTGATCATATTCATCTGAGCAATGACTAAATCAATAAACGTGGTTGGATTAAAAAACAAATTGTGCAGGTAGCGGATAAATTATAGGGTTTTGAAAAAACTGAAGAAATTTAATAGAATAAGATTTATATCATAGCAAATTTGCAACTAATAATTGAAAGTATAAGTACTCAATGAAAATGTATAACTAAATTCTCTGAAAATTATCTTTACATGTTTGTATTTAGAAAAACTATTAAAAATTACAACTTAAAACATTCATGTGTTCAATGAATAATTTTTTAAAATCACAATTACTATAAAACTTAACAGAACTATCATCTAAAGATACTATTAAAAAACTAAATTGGGTTCTTTAAACTTTTAAGCTTCTTACATTTTCTTTGTTCACTCCATATATCATAAATGGCGATAAAGAAAACATGATTGGTTTAAAGATTTTTTCAGTTTCTAACGTTCACTGTCTAAAGTAGTAATGAGCAATTTCCAAATTTTAGTTTTTTTTTATTTGCGATCATGTAATGAAATGTTAGTTTTGATCTTAATCACACAAAGTAGATACTTCACTATAATAATTTAAATTTTGTTTAAAATACTACTCTTTAGTTAAGTACTTAAGAGTTACCATTATAATTTAATCTAAAGTTCAAAATGCGGCAAAAAATCTACTCACATATATAAAGTATGATGTTTAAGCAGTCTTAGTTTTAATAAATATATATCTATAGTCCTTAACATTTTACTATCAAATCATTGTAATTTAGTGATTTTTATTTTTCTGTTATTTATATTCGATTTTGTAAGCAAGAAAATAAGATCTTTCTGTTTGTTAAAAATGCATGATTATCCAAGGGCTCTTAAAAATGCTTCTTAAGATTGGTTTTGTACAAAAAAACCCTCGAAGTAACCAATTTTTGCAAGAAAACCCTCCATCTCAAATAAATGCAAGTCAATACCGCCATCTCAAAAGTCACCCGCAATATAGCCCTCGCGTGTATCGATGACGTGGCAGCCGTTAACTCCGTCAGTGGGTTTTGTGCAAAAAAACCCTCGAAGTAGCCAAATTGCAAAAAAACCCTTCATTAAACCAATTTTTGCAAAA